GGCCTGCTCAACCGTTGGAAGAAGCGGCCCAGCAACATCCATACCATGATCATGATGATGACGATCGGCAAACCCATTGACTAACCCCCCATTCGCCATAATCCCCCCATGTTGTTGATGTTGATGATGTGAAGTACTCTCGCCAACGCCACCAACCTCTCCGCCAATCCCCAACCCCCTAACCGCCCTCCTCATACTCTCCAACCTCGCCCGCTCCACAACCACCATCTTCCTCGCCAACTCCCTCAGCGCATTCTTCCCCGTCTCAACCCTATTCTCCTGCCAGCTCGCCAACTCCTGCGCAACAACCTGCTGCGTGTACCGGAGTTCGCGGCCCCAATCCTCCAATTCGCCTCTACTCTTATCCATCTTGTCCTGCGCATCGCGCTGAACACGGGAGCGAGCGTCGTCTAAGAGGCCCAGGGGCCAGCGGTCGCTGCGGCGGACGGAGAGGTTGTGGCGGTCGATGGATTTCTGCGTCGTTGCCATTTGGGTGATGATGGTGGAAGGGCGGGATAAAGCGGTTAGGATGGCGGTGATGGTCGAGGAGATGGCGTGCATGGAGTAATAGAATCCTGACATGGGACTTGCGTCGCTCTGTTTTAAACACGCTGTATACCGGTCCAGTGCCTTGAGATGGACTTCCGGTAGGAAGGTAAGCGAATGCATAGCCGTGTTCGATATCTTTGCTGCATCGTTGAGATCACTGGCGCTAGCCCGGACTTTGTTTGCGCGCCGCAGCACACTCCTTGACGCATGATGTAACGCCCGGATGTTTTCCCGCATGTGTTGGACAAAGAGTTCCACTTCCCTTACGTCATATATAGGCGCATACTCTTCTCTCAACCGTTCAACGCGCAGTTCGGCTTTCCGCGCGGAGCGCTCGGCTAGCATCGACGAGTCGATGTCAGGCACCAAGAAGAATTCCCAGACCATTTCGTGCGTGGAGAAGGTGGGATGTCGCAGCAGGATTTTGAGAAACGCATCGAGGCGTAACTGCATATCCCGCAGAATCGACCGCGAAGGTCTCGACGGAATCAGGTAAGGGGATGCTAGGTTATGTATGACAGGTAACCAAGACGCAGGATGTTCTTGTGCGAGCCATTTTGCAAGGTTCTCGAAATCCTGCGACGATCTACGACAAGTTGTCACGGTAATGGTCTTGTTGTCATTGGGCGCACCGGATTTCAAAACGAGGCGAACTGTTCCGTCTTCGACAAAGAAGGAGCGAACGACGGTTGTTGTGCGACCGTCTGGACCGGCTTCGTTCGAGAGGAGAACCAGATCGTCGATGCGGTTTCGGACGTCGTCGTCTTTGGCGAGTTCCACGGCGGTGAGGCCACGGGCGTCTCTGTAAGAAAGGTCTACTCGGGGGTCTTGGAAGAGCACTCGCACCATGTCCGTTCGGCCGTATTTGCTAGCTACCATGAGTGGTGTGAACTGTCGATCGTTTGTCGCATTGGCATCGGAATCACAGCGGTACAGTAGCTTTGCTGCTAGTTGAGGGTCTGTGATGATGTGTAGCAGGCTGTTTCCCTTGTTGTCAACGTGTTCGTCAAGATGTAATGGTTGTCCGTCATCCTGATAGTGAGTCGCGGCGAGCAGTGCTTTATCGACCATGTCGTGGTACTCATCGTGATCGTATGCCCTAGCCAAAGCGAAGACCGGTGTCTGGCCGTTCTTGTCTTTCAGCTGCCAGGGCAAAAGATGCCCGATGCGGTCTATAAGTCGAGGTTGATTGAAGAGATAATGTGCCACGCATCTACCCTTCGCGTCTGGTCTGGAGAGAAATTCTTTCAGTGCCTGGGGACTGGGGCTGTTGTCCAGGATGTAGTTGAGAATCGTGTCTGTCGTTCTAGTATGCCCCAGTTGTATTGCTGCACTCAACAAATTGGTGCCTTCGTTGTTGTAGTCTTCAAAGACATAAGAGGGAGTGTAGTACTCGGCAAGACTAAGCAGATATTGCAGTGCTTTATCCTGATTGTTTTCAATCGCCATCATCATCACCGATTCACCATCAGGCCCTTGTGTCATGGTGAGTTTTTCTATCGAAACGTCGCCCTCGATGGCGCTAACCCGGGAATCAAGGGTTGTACGAGATCGGAACGATCGTGCGGAGCCACTCGACATACTCCTAGTATCCATGGACACCCTCTTCTTCATCTTCGGCCTGCCAGGTAGTGGTGGAGTTTGAGCGCGCTGGAAAGGGAATATGTGTGCCAGGGGACCATCTTCATGCGCACTCTTGTCGCGAGATATGCTTCGCCGTCGTGATGAGTATTCATCGTCCCCATTCAAGGTAGTGCCTCCTACAGAATGCAAATCTGATAAACTTGCAGCAAACCTGAGTTGGCGATTTCTTGGTGGGGTATCGCTCTCATCCGAGAAGCTATCCAGATCTGGATTGAACGAACGATCGGGCTCCAGTATACCCTGCATCGTTTCAAGATCACCAGATTTCGTGGCCTGCCACAACGCCCGATTCCGTCGGCTTGCTCTTCGTAGACCGCCTGAATCTGTCGTCAGGTAGGAAAGGACAGCCTCGAATGTGCTGAGTGCATAGCCCATCTCCCCGCTTTCGACGTCGTCAATGAAGATGAAATGTCGCATATATGAAAGTCGTGCCTGCAGATGCCGTACAGGCGCTCTTATCACTACTATGAGCAACAGCGACACAAGTGTATCCGCGTTGATGGTAAGAAGATGATCTTGCTTCTCCGACATCTGCTCTCCATTTGTCATGACCTTCTCTTGTGATTCATCCGGCATTGTAATGTGCTTCTGCACGCTGAGAAGTATTTCCAACATCTCTTGTGGACTGCCCGCAACACCCATCTTCTTGAACATATCGACAGCCTTAGAAAGTCGTATAGCTAGTTCTTGCTTGCCTTTGCGGCCATGGCCGATGTCGATGCCGACCTGCGATATATCAATGTCCACCATCTGTCGCGTGCGGCGCTCAAGGTCGGTGTCTTCTAGGAGCCGTATTTCTCGAATTCGTGGGAAGAGGATTGTGTGGTGTACTTGCTCGGCGATGTATCGTTCAATCATGCGCTCCACGATGGGACCTGTCAAGTCGGTCGTGGCGCCCAATAATGACAGTTGCTGCTTATCTACCATCTGGAAGAGGTCAATGGCCGCTGTTACTGCAGTTTCTAGCGATCTCCGCATCTGGTCCTCTTCGTCGCTAATCTCCAGATTTGAGACAAACCCATTCGTGCCGTGTGACATGCTACTGTGTATAGAGAAAGGCGTCGTCTCTCCTGAGGACACTGACCCGCGTCTTCGTGAACTCATGGACGATCGCCGCGACCTCTGTGATGGTGTCGCTGGCAAAGGCTTCTCAAGCTCCTTGCCAAACTCCTTGAACAGCCTCTCCAGTCCTGGTTGCATTTGACGTGCAATCATTGGGAAGTGGTTCAACAGGTCGCTGAAGGACTTGACTTCCTTCTTCCGAGGCATGGAGGAGCTGGCGCCTCCAGACGGGCCCGCTGCGACCGGTGGTCCTGCTCCTGGCCCTGCTCCTGCATCCTGCTTGGGCTGTAGTGTAGCGGGTATGATAGGGTTCGCATCGAAGGTGCCTATGAGGGGCCGGGATATAAAGTAGACGAGCCATGGCTGGGCATCGAAGGAGTCGGGGTAGAAGATGGTATCGCTCAAGAGCTGCGCCTGGTTGAGTGTCTTGAATCCTGTGTCATGTCAGCACTTGCAAGTCATTCCGTGACACACGACGTGTATGCGCACCTTTGTTGCTATAGATGAAGGCATCCTTGACTATCACCGTCCGGCCATTTGCAGTGGTAAACTGCTTCGCCTTCCCCCGCGTTTCCCTGAAACTACCCGAGTCCTTGGGATGATTGTTCGGCCCCACTCCGCCGGGTACGCGCAGCACATGGCTTGCGAGGAAGTCTTCGGAACCGCTGAGGTCGATGTACGAGGTGTTTGATTCCTTGTCGCGCGATGTGAGGAGGACTTCGGTGGTGGGAACGAGAAGGACCTATGTCATGCAGGGTCAGTTTTATGTCTCCCTGTACACTGCTATGTATCGTACGTGGTGCTGGGCTGGCTGGCACTGGCTGGGGAGTGCACTACGGAAGAAGGCCCGTAAGAAGGGATTCAGCACGGGAGGCATTCAATCGACATAAACAATCGTCTGGAGGTGTTTCGGCATGCGCGGAGCATGCGGATTGGCAAGGACGGCCACGCGATCTGGTGTAGACGTCAAAGTGGCTGTCGTGGTGAATAGGAGCCTGGTGCGATGATTCGGAATGCGATGGATGGCGGAGGCGAGGAACAGCGACGGGAGCGTATACGGCGGGTGCGCAAGGAGCGGAAGTAGTGCACGCTTCGGGGCTAATGCACAAACAGGCGATAGACAGCAGAGGGCTCGCAAACAATTGGGATGATGGCTGGTACCAGAGGCTCCAGGTCCATTGGCTTGTGAAGGTGAGCTGATGCTAGCCCGCCCTCGGTTAGCGCTGAACGCGACTCTTTCGTCATCGCTCCCGCTCTTCCCCAGCTTTGTATCACGACGCCACGTCGGCACAAATCCACAGGGGATGCAGGTAGGCGCGTCAATGCTCTGCAGTACGCGCTTTTCAAGGTCACCGTCTACGACAATGTTTGTCGATGGTCTCGAAGCGCGTTGCAGTCATCGCTACGCCACGCTGTGTCTCGATTGCTGCCATACAGGGTACGCGTATTGTCGACAAGACAAACGCTATCAGCGATAAGCACTACTTGATTACAGGCACAAGTGCTCATATATGTCACCACTACATCTCTAGCTTGTGAGGGGTGGTTCCAGGGACCTCTAACGGAACCCTCGCAACACCACAAACGACAATTTGTCGCAACCCATACCAAAACATACGAGCACTAACACAAAAGGAAGGTTTGGATATTATCGTATTTCCGCACTCAGCGACGTGCTTTTATCTATCATTCGCTAATAGTCTATCAAAAGAAAAAGAACAAGAGAAGAAGAAAAACGCTCACGTCTACTTGGTACTCTTCTTACAAAGCTTGGTACCATAGTCCATAACACTCCAGTTCTCCGTACCAGGCGTCGTCTCAGTAAAGAAGACACCCTCGGGATCATACTTCTGGCGTATCTTCAACAACCTGGGGTAATTGCCTCCCCAGTACGCTTCCTGCCAGTTCGGTTCATTGAGATCGCCCTCGTTCACATAACTCGCACCAGCGGGACTCACATCCCGGAGTCGCTTACCCAGAACATTGGTGTTGAAGTTCTCGCGTTCCTTTCTAACGTCCCAGGGCTCGTTGCCCGTCATCATAACGTTGGTGATGACGAAGCTACTGGCGTTGCGCCACGTGGGATGAATAGCATTGTCGACCTTGGGATAAGCGCGGCCGGGGTTGACAATGTGACCGACGTTGAAACCGAGTTGGGTGGGCTCGGGCATGGCGGCGTAGATGAGAGCGTCGGCGATTGCGTCGCCGTGGGCGCTAATGTCGGATTGTGTAAAGAGGCGGCCGCCGACGACGGATTGTTGGTTCGGGGGCTCGTCTTCGAACATGTCAACGTAGAACTCGAAGAAGGTAGGGAAGGCGCGAGTGTGGGTGTCGTAAGGCACTTTGGCCGCGTCTAGCTGCTCGTATAGTGGGGCGAGGACCTTTCCAAGCTGCTCTTCGTTCATGTTGGGACCAACGAAAGGTGCAATGTGGAGACGCTGAGGACCAGGGCCGAGCTCAAAGTACACGAACATGCCATGCTCGCTGTAGTGGTTGGCCAGGTTGTGGAAGATGTGAACACCCTTGGCGAACAGCTCAGTGTCGTTGGTGTGCGTAGAGTTGATGTTGAGGATCGTGCCAGCAACAGGGACTTCCGGGAAGGTCTTGACAGTGATGGAGATGACAACAGCAAAGGAGCTGGGGCCGCCACCCTTGAGAGCCCAGAAGAGGTCCGAGTTCTCCTTTGCGTTGGCGGTCACGAATTTACCCTCGGCGGTGACGGCGTCGAACGAGAGGACATTGTCAGCGCCCATGCCGTAGATTCCGGAAAGAGGGCCGTGGCCGCCTCCTTGAATGTAACCTCCGGCCCAGCCAACCGTCTAGGAAATGTTAGTGATGGTTTCAGACGTCCGGATCGATACACATACTGGGCACTCTCCACCAACGATGACCACCTTGGGGCTCTGAGCAAAGCATTCCCTGTACAATTCACGGCCTTGTACACCAGCACCGATAATGGCCGCACTACCCGTCCAGTCACCAGGCCCAGTGTACTTCTTGAGGAACTTGACGTCCTTGAAGCTGTGGGTGTTGATGATGAGTGCGCCGTAACCGGTGGAACGACCCATGAAGTCGTGACCAGTGTTTCGGATGATCAGACGGAGGTTGCGCTCCCGTGCGAACTTCACACCAGCTCGGATCTGCTGCTTTGTAGTTGCCATGATGACGTATTTTCCGTAGAAACCACGTGTGCAGGTTCCCGATGGATCATCAGTTGGCATGCAGGTGTTGTTCGTCTTGAAAGGCCAGAGCTCGGCAATCGGATGGTCGGTGCTGGCATTATGTTAGTATCGATCTTTGTATCCCTTGGGAGGGTTGATCATACAGCCATTGCTCGTTGCCCCAGTTGGCCTGAGTATCCGCACACTTTGCCGCATCGTACACGCTGGTGCCGTTCTCAAAGTTCTTATAGCAGACAGCACCGGGTGGGATGGCGAGCTGAAGTGCGCCTGAGACGGTCTGGTTGAGTTTCGCCCAGTCTGCATTGGTCGGCCAGCAAGCGTTGTCGGAGTAGCATTTGCCTAGAATACAGTGATCAGCATGCATTCGAAGAAGAAGAAGCAAAACGTGGTAGTAGCTTACATTGGTAGTCAACACCATCGACCTTCTTGACTTCACCAATCCATTTGGCGCCCAAGACACCATTGGTCGCCAACAGCAGAGAAGCGAACAACGAGAAGCGACCCATCTTGACGGAAAGTTTGGTACAGAGTCGATCAACTGGATCCAGACTACCAGTGGGATGCCCGACTATTTATTTCCATCGTAGCTCGATGACCTTTACAGTCCCTTGCTTTAGCCTAGTACTCCTGCTTCTCTACACTGGGGCTAGAGCTTCATCAAAGACACGGGACGCCCTGCTGCACGGCCACCTGCCTTGAAATTGAACTAATACCAGCAGTAGTCAAGAACGACTTCTCCTAGACTGCGTACCGTCTTCCAGGCCAAGGGTACCTGGAAATATGCAAGCCACACTCAACAGCGGGAGAAGAACTACAATAGGTAATTAACTCGCCCTAGAACGGATCGTCGGTACCGGGCCGCTGGGAGGCCACAGACTAGTTGGCATGATTGGAGTGTTTCTATTCATCCGGGTAATGTTGGGGGCCTGGTAGACTGTGTGCCAAGACAATGGTGCTCCTATAGCTTTTTCTGTTCGCCACGAGGTTGATTCCAGGGACTGTCTATCATCTCGTGATTGCCACGTTATCCATGTGGGCGAGGCTGTTGTGAACTGCCGTAGCGATACGCTGTACTCGGACGCATGTCCGGTGTGGTAGTGTTCTTGTGTAGCAGTGGGCCTCTGCTAGCCAAGCCGGTACGATCTAAACGTTCGACTATTATAGCCGCGCATGAGGGATCTCGCGTGGCGATAGTCGCAATATGCCCCGTAAGCATTGAATCTGGAATCCAATCAGGAATGATTGCAATGCTGTTTCGTTCAAGGCATGCAATCAACGCGCGCTTACGCTCATATATAGAACAACGGCAAGTATCTCTCTTGTCAGACGCAGATACATCTTGGGGGTCCCCTGATCTACAAGAGAAAATGTCCGCGCTTATGGGTTCAAACGATGGGGTACCATACGATATTGGACGAACGATGCGGCGCAGTTCAAGAGCCTCGTCTGTAGGATTTAAGTTTTCGGTTGCATCGACCGTACCATGCAGTATATTTAGCCTCGGAATAGCAGCTCTCTTCGAAATAGTCTCCGCATGTCCCCGCGGTTCGCAACTCCACTTTGAGTCGGGGGGCAAGGGTCCAGCGGCTAGCTTCCGGAGAAGCGCGATTGGGCCCTGCGTATCCCGCAAGTGCTTGACCCGCCGCTCCAAAGTCTTCTTTCGCTCAGGGATGGAGCTTTAGAAATACCATCGGCGTTTCCTGCGGTCGTTCTCTGTCGTTCTAACGGAGGCGATGAGACGACGGCCATCTAGCTGATCGTCGTGATCGTCGATGGTAGCGCCGGTTCCATGAGTCCGCAGGTCCGGGAGACAGGACATGACACGCATCCGAGCCGTGCCTTGGTTCTGAACTAGATTCAACGCTAGCATCTCTCGTTCGGCACGTATTCCATGTGAAAGCCAGCAATGAGGCTTCTTCACTACAGCCACCATCGGCCGAGGTAGGTGCTCACCTCCGCATTTGGAAGTTGGAGCTTGAGAGGCAAGGTTTCGCTGCCAAAACAATCTCCCCTGCTTCCTGCTTCGGACCAAAATCTTTGCTCAACGTACGGCTTCATCCGCCAGGCGAGTTTCGATATGTCTGCCGGTCTCGTAGCTCAGTATTTGCAGTTCCGGGAAGTCATGTCGAATTCGACTCCGGGTGACCCTACTCGCTCCTGCGATCTGGGAAGTACCGTCTTCCAGCTCTACCAACTTCTTCACGAAGCATTGTTGTGGCGCACGGTCTACGCCACAGTCAGAAGTATCTCGTCCTTGCTTTGCATCTTCAGTCACCTGCCACGCCTCTTGGTGGAAATTCTCTTCATAAGTACCCCATATGAGAACCTCAAGTAAAGGACATCGATGATGCGCCCATTGGAAGAACCGTGTAGCGAACTCTTGATGAATTTCGCAAATATGCACTTGAGGAGTGGATGGACGCACAGTTCTAACTCGGTCCTGGTAAAGATGTAGGATCTTGAGATTCTTGAGTCTTTCGATTGGTTCCTAAGACAGGTCATGAACGCTGCAGTAGGCAACACCGGGAAGCAGTCTGAACTCACCAGAATCTTGATTACGTAGGAAAACCTTTTCTCCGCCTCACTCCTAGGGATATCGAAGTCATAGAAACACAGACCGAGTTGTTCCAAGGCGCTAAAGTGACTGCATATCTGTTGAAACTCTGGTTCAACTATAAAAGGAAAGTGCTCGTTATCCCCCTCACGATATAGATCTAACAGTGAAAGCGTCTTGAGCCTCGGATGCAGCGGCCACAGATATGGTGTTGCATCTGGTGTATCTTGGGGGTCCAGAGATACACTGTGGAGGCCATTGATGTGGAGACGGAGGTGCTGAAGACTTTGGTTCTTCAAAAACAGCGCTCTTGCGTTCTCGCCTGCAGTTTCATCGAAATGTTCTGGGGTCCGTATTTCGACGTCTGTCAGGTTCTGTAGTTCGCGTGAGCTGGATAGGTGTTGCAGTAGATCCAATTTGCAATCTGAGAGAGCTAGCTTAGTCACTCGCGACAAATCGAAGACGTAAGGGAGGGCAGAATCGAACGTGTCAGGCATACAACCATCAAGCATGAGTGTGCGCGCTACAATCTTCTGGTCTGCAAATGCACTAATGTTGTGACCATCGCCCCAGTATTTATGAACTTTCTGGGTCCATCCCTCCAGGAAAAGTATCGAAAGTGAATCGAGCGCAGGTAGTGCTAGAGCAAACTGCAAAAATTTATGTGTCTGGTCGTGTTCTCCGCGGAAAGCAACAGTAACGCGACGCGTTTTTGGGGATATGAGCTTGCGGGAGTCACCACGCAACACGTGCAGACTGTCGATAGACTGCTGGTGCTCTTTGAGAAGGCTTACGAGGTTCGGGTCCATATAACCATGGTCCCAAGCAACGTAACTGCGTATCTGTCAGTCTACTAATCTACTATAATCACATCGGATTTCATGTCAACAATGTCTACCGGTGAGTCAACATGTCCTTGGGCAGGGTTTTGCCTCCATGGTCTAGATACGATGATTATGCGACCGTAACTTTCCAGCAGACTGTAACTTTCCAGCGAGATGTGACTTTCCAGCAAATTGTCAGCTTACCGGAACTCTCGGAGCTTGTTGGAGGGGATATCTTGCAAAATCCCTGACATCAAAGCATTTCTGGTCGCTTCATCCATCGGACAATCCGCTGATGAGACGGTTCCAAACTCCCATGGCAGTAAGTTGAGTAGGCTCAAGCTTCGTGTGTGCACCAAGTGCTTTCGTGCGCCAGAATCAACACATTGACGGAACAGAGCCAGTTGGCCATCATGAGCACGAACTTCGAGCACAACCTTCCTGTACAAGTACTCTGTGGCGACGCGATTCCAGCTCTTCGAAGTCAGGCAAAGCGCCTGTAGATCAGTGTAGAGTGAGAGCTGATGGACTAAGTCAGCGACCGATCAACTGCTGCGCCAGGCAGATGTCGTGAATGCGGGGTTCGCACATAACCCAGTATAATCCGCTTTACATCTTCAACGAGCTCAACTCTGGAAGAGGGGTTGCTTATGTGGCTGCTCATATTGCGAGGGGTGAGGCGGAAAACTGCGTAATGTATGGAAGCATGAGCTGTGGATGGAGTGCGGGGATGTGTCATGTGACTTCGTGTTAGCGACTCAAAGGCGTATTGAGTGGGTACTGCGAGGACGTACAACTGATATGGCAGTCGCGACTATGCCGCACGCACCACACCACAACTTCCTCCAATACGCTCCCCTTCTTACATCACTGCAGCCAGCCATGCGCTCTCTAGCGACCGAAATCTAGCCGTTTATACTGGAGTGTGTTGACTGACCTCAAATCTCTCAGTGCAATATCGATACATTTTGGTGAGCTTGTCCTGCCGCCAGTGCAGCATACTACCTATCTACACTTCAACAGTGACGATGCCGGAGGGTCTTCTTAGAGATCCCTGTAAGCAAGATAATGTAGCTGAATTTGCATTCAAGGCGAGAACACGTACGATCTCACGGTGAGTCTAATTGTCTCATTGTCATGTTCTGATATCATCTAGGGTATACGCACATGCTTTCCAGGACCCAAACATTACCTATTGTGCATTTGGCCTAAACACCGGCATCCCGTTCTTCTTGCCCCAACCCCAGACCTTGCCATTCAGATCTGGCACCATGATCAACCAAACAATTGTCGCGATCCAAGCTCCTATCGTATCAAGAACCACATTGTTCCTCTGACTACCCGATATAGAGCCCCAACGCATCAAATGCACCAACCAATTCGTAGGCGTCATGAAGTCGCCTCCTTCGAGTCCTTTGATGGCTGCCGTCGCAGCTTCCAGCTCAGTCTGCTTGGGATCTGAAGACTCTAGCTCGAAGCTCACGGGATGCTTGGTCTTGTTCTCGTTTTCGAAGCCAGGAGATAGTATACTGCCCGGAAAGACGACATGAATGTCAACATCGAAAGGCGCGGGTGTGGCGCCAGTGGTGCCCGTCTTTGAGCGACGCGCCGCGTTGTAGAGTTGTACCTCTGAACGGAGGCCGTCGGCAAGGGAGCGGATAGCGGCTTTGGCGGGGGAGTAGGCGGAGTAGCCTGCTATGTTCATGAAGGCGAGCGCGGACGAGGTCATGATGAACTTGCGAGGTGGTTCTGGTGCAGAACTCTTTTCTTGCGACTTGTACGGCACTTCGGGGTAGAACCACGCCTGGAGTGTCTTGTGTGCCATGTATGCCGAAGCGAAATAGTTGAGTTCCATCTGTCTCCTCAGCGTCTCGGTGCTCGTCTCGATAAACAGGCCTGGTACTGAGGACCCCGCGATACACCAAACGATCTCCGGCATACGTCCATTGTTCCAGGCCGTTGCTTCCTTGAGAATCCGGGCGTTCTCAGCCTCGGAGGTTACGTCGGCGGCGATGTAAGTGAAGCGTTGGGCGGCGGGGTTCTTTGCATGGGATTTTGCGTGTGCGAGGGCTGTCTCGAGGTTCTTCGCTGTGCGTGCGACGAGGATGAGGTTTGCGCCGCGGGCTGAGAGGAGACGAGCGATCTCGCTACCCATCCCCTGGGATGAGCCGGTGAGCAGAACCGTCTATGTTCACTGTCAGTATGTAAGCGAGCTAGGCAAGGTGGTGCATTGCTTACTCTCCCCTCTACAGGGAATTGATTGCCTTTCCAAAATGCGAAACCCATGATGTCTGCGCTTATTATCCCGACAAGCACCAGGAGTATGATGGTGGCCCCTAACAGCAGTTGCGACATGGGGATTGAGACTTGTCGTTTACCGACAGGTGGTAATTGGCGCGCCTGAAATCTGACAATGCTTACGCTGCCAGCATGTACCGCAGTGCTCAATGGGTGCTAGTCCACCAATATGCAGTACGGTGACAGGTGAATTAATATGTGGAGCTAAGGGTGCAGGGCTTAGCTCCACTGGTGGGGACCTTCCGACTCCCGCGGCGAAGCCAAGATTTCCTGCCGAAAAAAAGTTACCCGCGACGTTTGCGACCAAACGCATACGCCACAACACAACACAGCACATATCACAATCATGGCAAAGAAGAGGAAGGCTGATGGTGGCGCATCGCGCGCGCCTAAAGCGCCAAAAGAAGAGGATTCCCGAATGAGGATCAATACGTTTGAGGATGTCGCCGATTCCGAGGACGAGTTCCACATGAATCGCGACAAGATACTGCTGGACGAAGGGCCGGCAGCCAAGCGGATGAGGAAGTACCAGGAAGAGGGTTTGTCAAGTCATGCCGTATGTATTGGATGCAAAGACTGACTTGAGTCCAGACAAATTCCTACAGCCCTCTGACGAAGAAGTACTCGACGCCGGCAGCGACGACGACGACGACGACGACGACGACGACGACGACGAAGAAGAAGAAGATGACGAAGATGGCGACACCGGCGATGAATCAGAAGACGATATCACGGGACAGCGCAAACCCGCAGACGAAGATGAAGAAGAAGACGTGGGTGGATGGGGCGCCTCGAAGAAGGATTACTACGACGCCGATGCGATAGAAACGGAGCAAGACGCGCTAGACGAGGAAGCGGAAGCACGGCGCATACAAAAGAAGCAGTTACAGAGCATGACAGAGGCAGACTTTGGCTTCGACGAGGACGAATGGATGGCGGAAGATGGCGAGAAGGCTGCCGAAGGTGGTGCTGTAGTGACAGAGGTTCTGCCGCAACTCCAAATCACTGACAGCATGTCTGAGGAAGAGAGGATGAAGATTATGCGGACACGATACCCCGAGTTCGAGCACATTTCGAAAGAATACCTGAGGCTACAGCCGCTACATGAAGAATTGGCCGCTGCTGCCAACGCCGCCGAAAGGGTGCTGAAAGCGCAAGCTGCAAAGTCAGGGAAGACTGGCAAAACTCTACCTACACCAAAGGCAGTCATAAAGTACAGGGCTTGCGCAGCATATCTCGCAGCCATGGCCATGTACTTTGCTGTACTCGGCTCGACTGCAACAGACGATGGATCGCCAGTCATTGCCATGGACCCTGCTGAATTACACGAGCACCCCGTCATGGAGACTCTTCTGAAGTGCCAAAAGGTGTGGACGAGGATAGAAGACCTACCCCTCGGAGACCCCATGGTCGAGGCCGAAGACGACGAAGAAGACTCCTTTGTGGATGAAATCAGCGTCGAAGAACTCGAAAACGACCTGTCCGTCAAGAAGCCCACCAAGCAAAAGAAGACGCGCGCAGAACGAGCCGCAGAACTAGCCCGCGCAGAAGCTTCCGCCCGCCGCGCCGCAAAACTCGCAAAGACCGAAGAAGACCTTGCCTCCCTCGATACCCTCACCGACAAAGCCGCTCTCAAGAAGGCAGCCCGCAAGAAGAAGACACCAGCGGTCGAATCCAAGCTCAACCTCCTCAACGCAGACGACTCCGACTTTGGCGAAGAAACCGAACTCACCGCCCACGAAGCCGCCGAAAAGGCAAAGAAGAAGAAATCCCTCCGCTTCTACACCTCTCAAATCGCTCAAAAAGCTAACAAGCGCGACAACGCTGGTAAAGACCAGGGTGGTGACGCTGATATCCCCCACCGCGAGCGTCTCAAGGACAGACAAGCGCGTCTGCAAGCCGAAGCTGAGAAGCGAGGTCAGCACAAAGATGCTGGCCCTGGTGTTGCTTTGGGCGAAGACGATGGCGCTTCTTCTGCTGATGAAGCGCCCGGTACTAGGCGCGATGACTTTGAAGACGAAGATGGGTATTACGACATGGTAGCTGCGCGGTCCAACGATAAGAAGCAGACTAAGCTTGAACGCGCTGAAGCTTATGCCCTGGCTAAAAAGGAAGGTGCTCAGGTTGTGGAGGAAGAAGTCATTGGCGATGATGGTCGTCGTATGATTTCTTACCAGATTCAGAAGAACAAGGGGTATGTTATCTTCGTGTCTATTTTATGTGTGTTGAGAGTAACTAACATTTTGTGCCAGATTGACACCTCATCGTAAGAAGAGCGTGAGGAACCCGCGTGTGAAGAAGAAGGAGAAGTACAAGGAGAAGCAGAAGAAGCTCAAGAGTATGAAGCAGGTGTTTGATAAGGGTGCTGCAGCTAAGGGCAGTGCGAACTATGGGGGTGAGCTTACGGGTATTAAGTCTGGGTTGGTTAGGAGTAGGAAGTTGTAGGTGGTTTGTTGGTAGGAAAATATTGCGTGAGTATTGCTGTGGTTATTTCATGGCGAATGGGAAAACAAGAGGGTTCGGTTTGAGCATTTCGGTCGCGATATCATGTCGACTAGCGCAGACGTGCTGTCAATCTACTGGGGAAATCATACTCGAATCGATTGACTACAGATGACTGGACTTGCTCTTCGAAATGGTATGCAAAATACTCTATCCTACGGCTACGACGATAGCCACAGCGATCTTCCTCATCACCATTCCTCTCGTCCCCAAGCTTCAAGACCAACCACCAGAATTGCCCCATCTCCCTTCCACCGTTTGACTCAAGGCTTGCTATCTACACTGAGTAGCGCTTCCGTGATCCAGCGCTTTTATCTACGGCTTCTGCTACACATCAGGGTCTTCGTATAACCCACGATGTACGTCAAGTTGGAAAGGATAAACTCAGAACCGAGTCTACATCTCACGAGACGGGCCCATTGTGTAGACATCTGGTGTCGGTTGCTGGTGCTGATAGGCAGCTGGATTTGCGCTGGAAGTCCAGTAAAAGAAGACATGGTTGAGTCGATAAGGCGGACAATACTCTGTTGCGAAGGACAGCGTGTATCCAACTGATCTTGTAAGCCATTCCCTCGTACATATGCAGAATGAGCTCGTGTTGCTCTTCCTGCTCATCGATGCTCCTGAAATCTTCGAGGAACTGCTCTGCACGGTTGCTCTCAATTCCATCGATTTCTACACAGTAGCATAACGCTTGCTTCATCCACTTGTATGCGTCGTCCATCTTTCTCATCTCTATCAGCACGACGCTCAGTTTGGCCATAACATCGATTGTGCTCCCTCTGATCTCATTCAATTTTTTGGCGTGAAGATCGATGGTTTCCAGAAGGATATTGTGAATTTCTGAAAACTGCTTTCGGGCTGTCAAGACTCTACAGAGATAGGTCTTGCATCTCAGTGTTTCCTCATGTTCGATACCAAGCAGCCTTTCTGACATCTTCGCTGTGTCCCTGAGCAAGGCCTCGCTGTCAGCATACTTGTGCTGGTGGTAGAGCAATCTACCAAGTTCGCACTGCATGACACATTGTTCCCAATCAGAAATGCCCGTAGCGTTCGAGCTGAGTTCTAGCGCAACTCTCAATAGCGCTTCGCTTTCCGAGTGTCGCTTTGTTTCAGTCAGCAGGATGCAGAGCTTTCGTATGACTTGTATGGTTTTGCCATGTTTAGGGCCGGAGATGGTCAATCTGATCTGGAAAAGATCCCTCAGAAGTTCCTCCTCACTCCCAAAGTCATGCATGGATGCAAAAGAGTTTGCTAAGACGCGGGCAGCCTCCTGATACAAAAAGCTGCTCGGAAAAAATCTTCGTGCCAGAACATGGGCCTCTTGAGCTATTTGATTGCCCTCTTGAGACCTTCCAAGATGAAGAACCGATCCAGCGAGATGTACCTTAGCAGAGATATAGTCCCAAGAGTTTTGTCCATGTATTTGCTCGAGTACCGGCAGAACTTGTTTGTACTGGTGTTCAGCTTTGTCGTAGTGGCTAAGGTTGTAATATGCATTTGCCGAACTCCATCTCAATTCCGTCGTAGTGATGTTTGACCCCAAAGCAGCGCTCTCCAGCTTATCGATCTTGGCAATGCAGTCGTTCAGTGTCATGCGATCGACGTCGTATTCCGTGGCGATTGGTTGTACCTCGAGCCACCTTCCTTGGTCCTGTGGGAATGGGTAGACCTCCAGTGAGAACGGATCTAGCTCAACCACTCTGGATGATGAGAAGATCACATCGACAGAAGGGTATTTGAGTGCGCCAGTTGTAGTGCGCTTTCTTGAGCTGCATTGGTAAGACACCAATATGATAGTTCCCTGTTGAGCCTTCTCTTCGTTGTGGTAACGGGTGACCTCAGTGCTGCCTGAAGAAGCCGTTTTGTAAGGTTTAGCCTGCTTGTCGACCCAAGTCACAATTCCCCCGTCATGGCTGCATGCCTCTAAGTCTTGCAGGCAGACAGTATCGGTTGCAGGTGTGAGCACCTCTGCTACAGCTTGGGTTGGTGGGATGTGCAAGGGGATGTTTATGGGATTCATTTTCAGTGCCGAGAAGAGACGAGTCACTATATCGACGTCGCGATCTGAAGATTGTAAGGGACTAGGCGATACGAAGTGTTGTTCTGTCTCTTGGACGGTACCGATGTTTACATGAGCATTCGATAGAGAACCTAATGGCTCGGACGAGCCCATCAGGAGCGCGCTTGGAGAGAATCCAGGATTTGTAGCTTCGGTTGAGGAGACTGACAATGACGGAGAGGGTTGGTCTTCTGTGCTACCGTAATGCGTGAAAGAGTTGACTTGGTCTTTCGGTGGCTTCGAGGGCGACACGATCAACATATCTGAGCTCTGTTCATGTCTCGAAGTACTCGGAAGATCTGTTGAGGAATTGCACGATACACTGTCTGAGTGCGTGACACTAGAGGGCGTGTCGAACGCCTCGACGGCGTTCTTGGTACGAGTGCTTTTCTGCTCCTCATCAATTCTTGCTCTTTTCTCCCAGCGTTCGCATTTGGCCGCAGTAATCCGGGCTCCATTTACAGAAGCTTCTTCTTCTCCCCGCAAGTCTTGTGCTTCCAGCAGATATGCCTCTGTCTCGTGTTGCTTAACGTTCTTCTTGAAGCTCCAGTCATGGAACCGCTTGGTGAGCTGCTTCTGGCTATAAGATTATCAGATAAGCTATTTAGTAGGCATGGACCATGATAAGTACCTGAGATTAAGGCCATGACGTTCGAGAAGAGCCTTCCTGGTGGCTGCTAAGGTTCTGCTCTCCTTAATGTAGAGTGTGTGTAGTAATGGCTTCAAGGTCTCCCACTCGGCGTCGGAAAGCTGCCTGGCCTTACTCCCCGGATGATTCGATGATTGAGGAATAGGCAGTAGCTGTGTCAAGATGCCATGTGAATTCTGGATTGGTTCAGGTAGTGAGTGCAACATGTCAGGCGACTGTAGCAAGGCTGAGCCGGAGTTGCCAAGGCTGACACTGACGGGATGAACTTGAAAATCTGTACGATACATTGATGCAGTGGTTCACAGGTGAAGGTGATGGTTTGTAGCCCAGTTCTTAACCTTGAATTGGCGGAGGGTAGGAAAGAGCAATGAAGCTGACGTGCGGGATGCTCAATGATTAAAGCACTACGACCTGAGGCCATCTTAGCTGCAAGGCACTAAGTGATTGGTTGTCAACAAATTTCCTTGCATGAGCTGGGGGCTGAATGTTGCATCGCCGACCTATCAACCACTTCGAAAAGTTGCCTTGCATTAGCGCCACATAGCCCTATGAACACGAAGCTTGCACGTGATTTGTTTGCCGACGTATCTACACCGTTAGATCAGTTTAGCTGCCAGATGAGTGTCGGCTAGCCCGAATGAAAAGTTTCCTTGCATGAAGCGGTGGGAATTGAGGACCGGTGTAGCAACGGCGGACTAGCCAAGCATGATAAAAAGTTACCGTGCATGAATGTTTGAAACAGAGACTAATAGCGAGAAGACGCTGGGTTGTAGCTCATTGAATGATAGGCTGGACACCTACAATCATGTCGTTTCATAGCACCATGAACGAGAAACATCCCGCATGAGTCCGCTCCGGAGGCGTAAAGAAAGACGGATGAGCCACGACATGGGCTGAAGAGCACACAACTGAGCGTAGGCTTGTTATAGATTCCATCATACCTGGTAAGGCTCAATTGACTTATATGTCCATCTCAAGACCCATTCATATCACCTCGCATAAACCATCTGAATCACCACTACCCACCTACTATTTCCATCAGTCATTGCAGCTAGCAAGCACAATACGACTTACCACGATGGATCCGATGAGTATCACCGGCACCGTCCTTGCCATCGTGCACATCACCGGTATATGCCTGAAGTCGGGTAATCAGCACCTCGGTCCCTCGCGCCACACTTCCACCACACTTCTCAGTCTCATCCAAGAGCTTTACTGCTTTTACGGTGCTATCCAGAGCCTCAAGACTCATCTCACGATCAACGAGCACGATACCATCCGACTTAACTCGCTGGACTGCCTGGCAGGGCCATTATCAGACTGCAAGCTTGCGCTATGTCTCGTGGAAAAGCAGCTGGAAAATGATACGTTCTTCAAGCGGAAGCTTATCGGTAAACATTGCGATAAGAAGCTGGACGATGCTATCAATGTGCTGAAGAAAGGACGGGGTCTGTTTGAGACTGTTCTGTTAGCAGATCAAAGGTAAGACCCCTGCGCGATGTTTTCATACTTTTCAAGGTTGCGATTTCATTGCACCGTCTCCGGAAGTCTTGTGCACCAACAGCCATCTGTCGCATGGTTTAACTTCTCGCAGGACTATCACCACCGCTATTGAGAGATACACCATCAACATAGCCGAAGACATCCGCGATATAAAGAATAAGCTTGAAGGTGACGGAGAGCTCATGCGAGGGCTCACCAGACAGCTCACTCTTCGGCTGGAGACGGCTAATGAACGGGAAGAAGAGATGCGATCAACACTACGAGAGATTGACAACAAGTTGCTACGAGAGCGTGAGAGTAGGCAAGGAGAAAACCGGAGGCGGAGATGGTCGAGGTGGATTGCTATCGCCAGCCAATCGGCTTTCCAGATTGCGATTCAGCTAGCGTTCACCAGCCTGCTCGCGACAAATAGTAGGGTGTGATTAATACTTGTAATCTTATATCTCTATCCTTTCCTTGTTCGGGAATGGATCAAAAGAGCTCTAGATGTTGTTTCTCTTCTCCTGGCATCTTTCGAGTACTGATGCTCTTGTTCGATATCAGTGTTGCGATGCCTCCGTCTGCCGTCTTCAATTCGATGCTCGGTGTCTTTGCAGTTGGTTGGTTGTAGCCAGTAGTTCATGCGGAGAATTCGAAAAATCTTAATGAATGAAGAACGTTGTGTCCGGTCTGATGGGTGCAGCGTCTCTCTGGTGTTGCTCCATGAGGTGAGGAATGAATGCCGCGCCCAGGTACTGAACGTGGTCGGATACCCCTCTAGTCGCATCATCTCCATCACTCTTAGTGTCTAGATCTCGAAGAATATACAGTGGTTCTCCACCATAGAACACGGCAATTTGATCTCCTGGCCGACATCCCGGGTAGGCGTATCCGATTCGACCGCCTTTTGTGCTGAAAAAGGTAAGTCCGCGAATGAATCTCAACTGGACTTGGCACTGCGCCTGTTCCCAACGACAACCAGTGTAATACCAACCCGATGGATCAGAGTACCAAGTCGTCAACTGAGGCAGAACTTCACGGTATGTATCCTTAGCTCTTTCAGTGATTCGCGAGTCCAAGAAGAATAACACGATGAACTCCTCTGGGATATCGGTAACTCTTTCGCTCTTCCCATAGAAGACATAGCGAGCTAGTTCGAGACTTCTCAGATGGCAATCAACAGCAGCATCATAAAGAGCCATGTGCTCTTCCGAATTCAGATCGTATCGATCGTATGCCACGTCAAGAGGGTTTTCATGTTCCACAACCTCTTCAATCGTGTCCACCACAAAGCCAGGGACGCGAAGCACGTTGTCATGCATCACGATACTTACGTGCTTTTGACCACAGTCCAGGATCGCGTTCTTTCTTTCTGGTGCCTTTTCCAAACTGTTCTCTTCAAACAAAGCCCAAGGATTGGTTGGCTGTCGTTCATGTATCGGATCATTCCACTCCCCATCAATTATCATCTTACAAGCTGATATTCCAGATAGATTCGGGCACCAGGATGGAAGATGTGGAGATTTAGGTTCCCGAGTAGGCGGCATCTGAAGTATGCTCATCCCACCAGGTTCGTTCATCAAAGCTTTGGCAAACATGATCCACGTCTTCCAATATTCATCCCGACCTTGAGCGCTGTAGTCAACCCATGAGCTTAACCTATCTTGAAGATCTCTTTGCAAAAGTCCTACTATTGCCCAAACACGATCGATAGGCTCTTTCACACGTCGCTCACGTAGGTCGTACAATTCTCTCCCAAGGTTATGGGCATGGATTTCCTTGGCGCCTCTGTCTCGATAGAATTTGATGGAATAACAGGTATTCAACGCGGGTGTATCGTTTGTACCGAATGCGATCCTAGATGTGTACCAGAAATAGAGGCTGTCGAAGCATCCGTCATTGAAAAAGTTTGAAAGCTCATCGAAATTCATCAAAAGATCACCGCAAAGTATTCTTGCGCTAGTTGGAAGAATAATCTCCTGGTATGTCCATAGACGCCTGAACCATTCATTTCCAAGGAGCTGACTTAGTCCTCCCCAAAACGCGTCTCCATTATGAGGACGCTCTTCCATGTCTGGATCAGGGCATTCAGGATCCGCTTCATACTTTGCTTTCCACGTCTTTAATTTGACTCTCGTCTCTTGGAATTCAGTGAAGAAGGCATCAGTTTCCGGAGTTGGAAGGCCCATCCATACAACAACAGCCCTCGCTCTGGAGTATATTTCGCGCATCAGTGGTATCTGAGTAGCTTTCTCTTCCTCATCTTCTTGATTGATGCATATCGCGTCGATCCAAATCTTTCGAGCTGTCGTATTCGTTTGGTATCGGTGTAGGTAATGTAACATCTCAAGTGCGGTGGATGTGACGACGAGAGGTCTGCCGTTGCATTTGGCTGTGACCGAGGCTGGCACACTTCCCCAGACATACGAAATCGCATCGTAACCAAGGTCTTCGGTAAGTGTGTACTGGTCGATCTCTATTTCAACGGACCCGTCGATACATTTCGTAGTGAGGAGACGTATCTGATTTTGCCGAAGTTCTTGGTGTTTGTATGAGGAGCTAGTAGACTCCGGGTTTCCGGGGTCTGTTTCCATCGCTTATTCACGTGTTTTGAGACTTCGCTGATGAGCGCGATTGGCGAAGTGAGAAGCGACGGTCCTCGAAGGAAAGTGGGAAGATGTGACGGTTAACAGGCGGCGAAGAATCCTCAAGATCACAAGCGCTCCGACATGATCAGGCTGAGCGGTGCAATACTGAGATATAAGGCTGTCGGCGTCTTGAAGCTCAGCCTGCCGTCTCACTGGACTGCATGTCAAGGAGGGGCAGTGCAAGCCACATCAGCCTAGCATTGGTGTTGGCACTTGCGCAGCTTGGGGTGTGCAAGTGCATGAGTTTGAAAACACAAGCGTCATGAACCAGACGCAAAGGCTGAGCGTTAGGACTCGGTGTTTGGGCGTGAATACAGACTGATGAGTAGGATTCTGTTGAGCTATGAGGGGCAGGATGTCAGCCTCGCTAGATGTCAGGTGACCAGCATGTGTTAGCGTCTTGGTACAGCAAGAACTCGGAAAGCGCATACGGATCCTTACAATGTCTCTATTCTTTATGACTTTGGATGCGTATTCTAATACTATTATACAGATATAGTAAAACAATCGGGTATCATGGAATCTAAACGCAAAAGACGACTCCTTTCCTTTCTCTTCTCGCACCTACAACTTGATAGGGTACTTTTCCCTAATCACTTTTCCGTACCTAAACAACAGCGCTGGCACGGGAATGAAAGCCACAGCCAAGAAACCCAGCAAACTGTTTCCCCAGCCCAAACCCAACGATTCGTACATGGTTGGTCCAGCAAGCGGAAGCAGTGCGCCGAAGAGACAACGCAGGGCTGTCATACCGGCGATGGCGGACGCAGCGAACTGAGGGAAGCAATCGATCATGTATGTCTGCAGGGGCGCGAAGATACCCATGAGGCCGAAACCAAAGGGGACGAGGGAGATGATGGGTACGATCCAGTGCACATGATAGTGAGTTGTCCAGCCATATCTAGTTATGTTAGTGGAAGTTCTGCGCGCGAGAAGGGAAGACAACTTACATGAAGAAAGAAATAGGAATCAGAGTTCCGAAGAAGACACAGAGCGGAAGTCGCATCTCTGGCTCGTAGACGCCCTTGTTCTTCTTCGCAAGTCGGATGATGGTCGCATCGCTCGTCTTGGCCACGAAAGCGATGCCCATGAAGTTGCCAATTCCGACACCCAAGTATGCGAGACCGGTGATTTCGGGAGACCAGCCATACGTCTGGACGAAGACGGATGTGATGGTGGTAAAGAGGAGGAATAGCAAGCCGAAGAGGAAGGACATGTAGAGTGAGCAGAGCAACACAATGGGTGACCTGGTGAGCATCTTGAGCGGGCGTGTGATACCGTTTCCGAGGATAGCGAGAGGACTGAGAATAGCAGCGTCTTTCTGGTACGTCATGATGTTCTGAAGCTCGGGACGGTTCAACTCCTTCCTCAAACGCTCCGTCTTGCGGTTGAGCAGCACAGCGTGGTATGTTTCGCGGTTGAAGACGAACAGGGCTCCGGTCAAGAGGCCGCCAACGATGAGGACAACCCACATGTCCCAACGCCAGCCAGCACGCTGTGCAATGAAGCCACCGCAGATGGGACCGAGGATAGGACCGAAAAGAATGCCCATACTGTAGATGGATACAGCCTTGCCACGCTGCGCAGGGACAAACATGTCGGCAATGACACCAGTGCCGATTGTCAGACACGCGCTGCCTCCGACACCAGCGAGGAATCGCATGCCGATGAGGCCACCAAGGTTAGGCGCAAGCGCGCAGCCGATAGTGAAGGCGCAGAAGAAGACATTGGAGCAGTTGAGTACGACGCATCTTCCGTAGATCTCTGAGAGCGGACTCAGGAAGAGCGGGCCGAAAGCGAAACCGAGGACGTAGACACTGACGGAGAAAGAACCAAGAAGCTGCGATGTATTTCCGAAATCCGCATTGACGAATGGTATGCCGGGTGCGAAGATGGAGGAGGCAAGCGGACTGACAAAAGTGATGGCAGCGACCAAACCAAGGAGTGTGATCTTTCTCTTCGTCGTGAAGTTGCGAGGGTTCGCTGGATCGTCTTGCGAATCCCAGCCGACGAGATTGTTGTCGAGGTCGGACAGCGGGTACTTTTCAGGTGCGAGCTGGTCTTTCTTCGTGCTCTTCCTTGTCAGGTGCTTTTCGAGGTCTTCGCCGATTTCATCATTCGTCTCTTGCGGTTGCTAAGAGGTGTTAGCTATTATTCCGTGTACTCGAAATGATGATTGGCGATGGTGCAGCAGCCGACCACCCGATGCTCGGATAACTTAGCCTGAATGCCTTTGATCTTCTGCGCATTGCGCGACGGATCACACACTGACGTCAAAGTCTTCAAGCTCCGTAAAAAGATTTTTCGGGTAACGGTCGCGCAGCATGGAATTGGAAAACTTACTTTCTCTTCGACGACCTCTTCTCCTTCTTTGTCAGGTCTCGCGTCGCCCTTCTCTAGATCTGGGATATGCGTATCTGAACTACTCCTCGAATGCTGGCGATACTCTTCTCGTGTGGATGAAGACATGTTGTGCGGTGTTTGTAGCGGTCGCTACGATATTCGAACGAGGTTTTCGTAACCAGTTATGAGGTTCGATAAATGTTTCGTAAAAGTGGTGTTTGCGGCTATGCTGGTCGCGGTCCCCTCAAGGGCTAGTTTCGGACGCTTGCAATTGCGGTGTTCAAAACATCAATCCAGGACTCAGGCCAGGTATATAGCGAAAAAGGCCCCAGGCAGCTGAATTACGAAATGACTCTCCATCGGTGCCCGCACCCTGAACATGGAGTCTGGCCCTTAACCCCGAGGTTTTCGGCTGCGACTAGGCCAGAAGTGGGAGGGCATGATCTCGGTCAACGGCGTTAGCTAAAACGCGAGAGAGCGACGCGGGGGAATCTGCCGCCCCGTTGGCTGCGTTCCCCAAGAGGTCCTCCACCCATGGTACTAATCAATCCGGTTATTTCTGACAAAGGCAGCACATGTTGTAGAACGCTGACTTTGACCTTGAAGTGCGCGTGTGATGGTTGCGGTGCGTCGGTGTTGAATAAGTACCGGCAGTTCGTAGGGTCGGAGGACCAAACCCCTGCCCAGCCCTACCGAAGCTTGACGGGTGCGAAGCATCACGCAGCCTCCTTAAAATCCTTTACAGGCGTTATGACTCTTGAAGGGCGTAACGTGCATCCTCATGCATAAAGTCCGGTCGCAGGTCCGAATTGGAAACAAATGTCACGCTCGACAGTGTGCCTTATGTCCATATGTCCGTCTCTTGTTGCTCATCTCTCAATTGTCGCTGTCGATCCGCAATGTAGTCGCGAAAGTGTGAACTGCATGGCTAAGGAAGAAAGAATCTGGAAGAAAGCGTGGAAGAAACACCTACCATACCAATACTCTACCTTGCGATCTCATCGCCAGCGACTGTAGTGTTTTTCTGAGGTGCGTTGATGATCGCTAGCACTTCCTCGTATGAAGTACCCACAGCCTCCACTGTGATGCGCTGCAGTGCGTGACGATCGTCGCATTTCGCAAATCTCAAAAGGTGAAGAGAGAAAGAGAAGGAGCGATCCTTTGCTTGAAGATGACATGTCGTTATCTTTAAATTATCCGGGAACGGTGCTATTGCGGCCGCTGTACCTGAACTGTAGTTGAATCGTCTTGGGTGGCCAGGCAGGGTCATGATGCTGACGCCAGCCGTAAGCCATCAACATTGCGCCTAGATGTCGAGCGCGTAACACACAGATATAAGTATCGCGGGCTCCTATAGTATTCGAGAGAATGTCTATGTGCAAGACGGGAGGTCGCAAAGGTATATATTCCCAGTAACTGACTCGGGTCTCCTCTCGGAACGACGCGGGTGGCCGGACCCTGGTAAAGAAGCGCTGCGCGCAAATTCCTATCGTTTGATTATGGAGGATGTTGGTCTGTACTGATGGGTATCAATTATCATTGTTGTCACAAAGGGGTGTGCAGGTCTCGCATGCGCCTTCCACTCTTGCGACAGACCAGCGACGCCGGAGCTGTCGTACTCGCCGGGCCTGATCCGTGGCATCAACAACACATCAATCACGCATCGTCATCCTCGCAGCTTTCCATAACATGCAAAGAAGTTCAATCGGCGCTATCATGCCAATATTTTTCTACTCTGCATCGGAGTGTCAAGGCGGATCCTACGGCACGGCACGGTCCCGCTTGTGGATCAATTTGGGAAGCGCATCCTGAATACACGAATGGATGTACAAGAGAGGATAGTACTATATCAACATCTCGCACCTATACGTTACCACTCCACCTATGGGTCCGCCTTTGTCGCAATTATGTCTTATTAGGGACACCGAAGCACGACGTCACGATACGCCCCGTACTAGCGCAAGGCAGTGTTTGTGGGGAACTAGAAACATAGTTTCAACCCACTAAGACCAGGCCGTAAGAGCGGAACAACTTTGGAGACACAAGCTGACGAACTAAGTTAATTTTATGAAACACACAAGGAGATGAACGTTTGGTATTCCCCGACTTGGGATTCATTTTATGTCAGCGCATCGGGGCTGCCTGGGAGATCGACAGCGGCTTCGTTTATGCTTCGTTTGTGCTTACGGTGCCCTGGCGGCTGAATGTCACGACAACCGATGCCTCACGACCTACCATCGTCGACCAAGCGGCTGTCGTGTTACCTTCAGGAGACTTTGAGCGGGGAAACCACGATGGCGGACCCTGTCGGTACTACCTCGTTGCGAAGACGACTAAAACATTTCCAATCGGGAAAATCGGCTATGTAGCATGCTTGCGATGGGGCTACCCAGGGCGTAAAGCTCAGATTGGAAGAATATCAGACACATTAAGATGGCAAAAAGGACCGGACAACCATGGTACGGCACAGTCGAAGACAGACTCCATCAAATCATGAAACTTTACGACGTATGCAATATGCCTTTGGTATCAAGATCAAGATATGTGAACTGGACAAAGCAAAACCAAGGGACAAAGTTCTTTCATAACATGTAGCTGCTACGAACACTACAACTTCCTTACAATGAAGCAAGCAATGACCGGGGAACAATAGATTTGGGGGCTGCTACTAAAATACCAAGCAAGTACCAACTATGGGGAAGACATCTCATCGGCCCTTCACAATGGCTTGCCTGATCAACTTCCCTGTACGACCTCAGTCCATGAAGAAGTGGATACCAAACAAAGTCTGTTTCTCCATTGCCGATGTCTTCGTACACCCAACTCCACCAACTCCACCTAACGCCCCGTCCCACCTGAGACCCAGAGAAACAATCGAGAGTACCACGACCCTCGGAGCGTATACGAGCCTTGAGATGTCTCTATGACGATCTTGATCCTAGCATCGCAAGGATTTCCACTGCAGTGTCGCGCCCCCATCAAATTTCGCCCTGCCATAGCAATCTCGGACCGAAACCAAGATACTTGGCCCAACTGCATCCCTTGACGCCGGTGACGGAGATGCAAGACAAGTGGGTTACGAATAGCATCATCGCGCAGAGTAGACAAGAGAGATGGGAAGCCTGAAAAGAAGGGGGATGGATATATAAGGAGGTAGGTTGGTCGGTTTGGATGAAGAACCATCACACAATAGCTTCTTCAACCATCTCTACAAGCCTACGCATCACAACGTTCAAAGAACATTCCAATCGAATCTATCACCATGTACTTCTCCAAGATTGCCGTCCTCGCCGCTGCCACCATGGCCAGCACTGTCGTCGCAGACAACTGTTTCGCCGGGTACGCGTACTGCAGTGGCAACCTCCTCACGCAAGGTTCGTCTTCTCGTCACCTCACCTTTCCCCCTTCTTCCCCCCTTACCCTCTCCATCATTCTCCCCGCTACTACGCACCATCCCAACTAACACACCACTAGGAGACTACGCCTCAACCATCTACCAAACCCTCGACGCCGCCGGCCAGCCCACCGACGCCAACGCTCAGGCCAAAGCCCTGTTCAACTGCGTTAACAACGGGGCTATTCAGTTCATCAGGCTTTGCGAGGGCAACTGTGTCAATGAGCCTTTTGGCAGCCAGGTCAGCGACCACTGCTAGATCATTGGTGGATCTGGAAGGATGCAGATGAATGGGGACGACGCGATGGGTGGAAGAGAGGAGTTGACAGGGGAAGGAAGGGAAGGGGGTTTGACTAGAAAGAAATAGCACACTCGTTTCTCTATCTTTTGTTTCATTATTCGTGTTGTTGTTGTTGTTGTTGTTGTTCATGATGATATCTCGCGCTCACCATGTGAAGCCTACGTAGACTGCACAGACTGTAAAAGTCGACGTAATGGTTTTATTGTGAAACGACAACCATGTCAATCCAGTCGTTCATATGTAGTTCAGATCATGCGCAGCTTAAACTCTTGTCATACAAAAGAATGTCATCCAACCCATTACTTTCCCTTTCTCTAGGCTAAAATCATGGTCGCATCGAATGTTTGCTTACGATATGAAAGCACAGCCGCGAAGACTTGAGCATAGGGAAGAGAAAAAAAAAGCCACCAGCACCAATACAACAAATCAATAAACAGACATCCACCCAATACCCTTTTTTTGCTAACCCACTTGAACGCCAAAGCGCTCGTCGTCGTCTCATACATCACACACACACACATCCCTACCCACTAAGAAGATCCTTAACACTCATCCCCCTCGCCCCACTCCAACTCCTCCGATCCGTATTCAACATCATCAACGCCTCCGTAGCCTCCTGATCCTCGCGATCAGCCTGCGGTTTCAACGCGGGGCTCGTGAGGGAAAAATGCAGCGACCCATGCGACGACCCCGGCGCGGCAATCGGACCCGTACTAGGAGGCCCGTTGTGGTTATGAAACGGGTTGCTGAAGTGTGTTGCAGATGGGGTGTGGGCGCTGAAAGCAGGACTCGGGTGGATCGAAGGACTCGTTACTGTGGAACATGGTCCAAGCGAGTAGTGGTGTGGGTCTGACGGACGTAACGCGGGGGAGGGGTTCGCCGAGTACTGCCCGTTCCCGTTGGTGCGATCGTGGGGTAGGATGGCTGGGGATGTGGTGGTGGAGTGAGTGAATGCGCTTCTGTCGGAGGGGTGGATGGCGGGTGAGGCTTGGGCGAATGTGTATCGCGACTTGGTGGGTGGGGGCTCGACGTAGGTGGGTGATACGGCGTCTTCCATTTCTTCGTCTTGGTCTGAGGCTTCATCATCGTCGTCGCAGCGCAAACGCTGGGCTGGGGGCGGCGGGAGCTCGGATGTGGCAGATGAGGGAGAGTCGCGTCGTGAGTTGGCGGTTTTGAGGTTGGAGACGCATTGTTCGAGGTAGCGCATGTACTCGATAGATGCCTTGGGCGTGTTAGCATATGGAGTAATATCGCATAGTACGTAAACGCACCTGTAAGATGGCGAGCTTATGCATTTCTTGCCCTCTGCATGCCGGAATCATGTCTTTGAGAACCCCAAACTCCTCGTTCATCTTGGACCTCCGCCTTCGCTCGATAAGGCTATGCGCCGTCTTCCTTGCAATCTTGCGTCCCGCAGCAGTGGTGTTGCCT